TATGTGTCGTTGTCTGTCTGTATCTATCTCTTATGTTGTATGTATGATATGTATGTATATCTATATAATATATATATATCTCTCTTACATATCCCTCCATACTACATATCTATTAATGTGTATGTATGTATGTATGTATATATATATATATATGTATATATACATACATACATACATACATACATACATACATACATACATACATACATACATACACACATACATACATACATACATACACATTTCTATAACATTTGAATTGAATGTGCAGCCCTAATCACGAGGAAGCTGTACAAGATATCAAGTTAAACACAGTGATGTGATAATCATTTTAAATACCGTTTCGCTTTGCTTGTGTCTATGATAAATCAAATCCAACCAACAGCAATACATCATCGCCATTTGGAATAACTGCTAGTTTGGGGTAAACTCGGACTGTGATTTTAAAGCTTTATTATTATAATTATTTAAAAAGAGTTATGCACTGATTTAGTATTGCACTCATAAATCCTTGTCTGACTCACTTTTGACGGTTTAAAAAGGATAAAAATGCATGCAAAAGACCTAGAAGTATTCTTGTTTTTCTCAACACATTCTTCCTATTGTGTTTCATAAGAACTGTAAATGTATGTTGATGTGTTAAACTGGTGGCATTCCCTAATATTTGTAGCAAAACATACATCCAAATAGCAGACACATTTATATAATATCGCATATTTACCAAAACCTGTATCCAAAACACACATTCTTAATCTAATTTAACTCTCAGCAAAGAGCAGAATCCCACGCTGTTAGGCTCTCAGCGTGAGTTCATTCCCACTACAGTGGAAGCGACAGTTAGCCTATTTACTTTTATTCTGGATTTTTGCTAATTATCTTAACTACACAAGTAATTATCTTTCACATCAAAGGGGCCACGCTCCGAGCCCTGCTGGTCCCCCCTCAACCAACGAACCATCCACTCCCCAACACACACACACACACACCATCATCACCATCACCACATTTCCGGAGCCAGCTGAATCATGACATTAGCAGATAATTAGACGGTCGCCTGGCTGCGTTTGATGGAGGCTCATGTGACGAGCAACCGTCTATTTGGAGACTTACTGAATCCGAATCCAGAGAGATATTACACACAGATTTAACACTGGCTATTTAATCACAGGTGTTAAGCTGCAGACTGAGTGAAAGCCTATATAGTTTATAACGGATTAGCAGTAAATAAATGACACCCCGAGGGGCCATTGATGGTTTCCAGCTCTTTCATCTCGTCCATTAGCGGTGCTCTTTCTGATCACACCCCGCTCTAGATCAATGGATGATGCAGCGGCTGGTTTGATTTCTGCCCCGAAAGCCATGACTTAATGGCACGGAGCTCATGACTCTTGACTATACACAACATATTTGCCTGCATATGCTTTAATTCACTTCATCTTCTCCATTCCCCCAATGCCTCTGGGCTCCTGTTTCTGCAAACAAGACAATAATCAGGTCATCTGGCATCAGGCGTGAATCCTTCATTAACAATCTAATGATAATCTGTGCAGAAACATGTGACTGTGGGAGAGAATTTACATGAACTGCAATTTAAATTCCTTTGAAGTTGTTTGTTTTGCTCACCTTGGAAACACACTATTTCTACTTCTCCTCTGTGGTGAGAAGTAAACGCACCCCATAAATATTTATCTACCTAGGGCCCGTGCTATTCTGGCCCAGTGTTTTGAACATAGCCACTGGAGATTGGGCCTATCAGGGACACAGAGGGACCCAGAGAGGGGGGGGGGGGGGGGGGGGGGGGGGTGGGGTGAGGAAGGTGGAGGATAATATGTGTGTACGTGTTCCAAAAGGAAACGGTTTGCATGATGTTTAATGCAGCAGGACTGTGGCAGAGTTCAGAGTGCGTTTTCTTTACCAAGTCACCTCACAGACCTCAAACGTTCAGTCCCAAATAATATGAGCCTCTGCAGGTTTTTAAAAGAGTTTTTGTGCTGGTAGATACGATAACGCAAACTTTTTTTTAACTCTTGTCAAGGTTTTCTAAGATACCAATTTGTCACGATGAATTCCTAGGCAATGCATTTACACAAATGCAATTATAGAAGATTACCAACTATGAAGAAAAACAGTGACTCGTGGATTTAAACACTATGAAGCTTAAATTAAGGAAAAGGAAAAATATGAAACCTGAAAATGAGCATAATAGGGTCCCTTTGAATATATATGTCAGAGAGATAAAGTACAATTTGTTTCCTTATCTTAAAGCTTCTTAAGGAGAAATATAAAAAAGGTATATAAATGTCAACAGATGCCCATTTCAACTTCCCAAGTTCCATTGTGACACCTAAAAGTTCTGTTTCTTTGTGACCAAAAATCCAAAACACAATGAATATGATATATATGACAAAGTAAAGTTGCATATTTTGCATTTGAAAAGCTCAAACTAGAGCTGAATTATTTTTAACCGTTATTCCATCTCTGAAGCAGATGGGTTTGTTGTCAGAAAACCAACAATGGTTCAGGTGCAGAATAAACACAGCTTTGTGACCTTTATTTCGCTTGAATAAATCTGGTGAGAAAAGTCAAGAAATTCCAAGACAAATCGAGAAAAAAGCACCAAAATATTTCAAAGCTTTCAAATATAGTTGCCAGGTCTGACACCCAGGCAATTCTAACTGTCTCCTCCTGCCAAATAACTGCTGGTGGTGCGAGGTTATAATATTCAGATGGATGAATATGGAACACATTTACACCCTGCCTGCCTGCTTGGAGTGTACCTAACTGTGTGTGGCATTTCCTCCCCGAAACCCTGGTGACCCCTCAGTGCAAAGGTGGGTTGCATTAAAACATCCACAGGCCTTGTCAAACACACACACACACACTCACCTGTTAACTGTTGCGCTCCGCAGGCTTCCATAATTTCGGATCCCTCCACCTGGATGTTATTGCGGCCTGTAGCATCCTGCTCTAATGAGCCTGCCTCAACTCAGTCAAAGTCATCTGATGACACTGATGTGGGGAGATTGATATTCACGCTTGACTCGTCGTCCTCTCCACTTGACTGCCATGTTTACCTCCCCACACAATTAGTATCTGGTGAAGACAGACAGTTAGAGAGGAAAGAGGGATGGTGTGTGTGTGTGTGTGTGTGTGTGTGTGTGTGTGTGTGTGTGTGTGTGTGTGTGTGTGTGTGTGTGTGTGTGTGTGTATTAGCTCCAATTGTTTACAAAGATGGGAGATGTCTTTCAATGTGGCTTGAAGGTGGCTTTCTATATCACAGGGCCATTACTACCTCATTTAATCCCCATAACTCTACTTTACCTCTCTGAATGTCAGTAGCTTGAAATAACAAAAGATGAATTGGCTTAAGCAAAATGCATATTTCAACAGTTTCTGTCCAAATTTGCATCGAAGACGTGCTTCGCTTTGGTATTTTTTTTACTACGCATTTAGGAAAGAAACTCCACAAGTGTGATGGGTTCAACTCCCTCCCACACACGGCGCTGTTTACACTTCTAGCCTTCCATCCGAATATTAGCATATAAACAAATAAAACACTTAAGAGGAGAATTGTCTGCCCACTCTCTGTGAAATAAAGAAAATGGAGGAGGGGGTGCCCGGTGATTGGCATTAGGCTATGGCAGACTTTTAGCCGAGCTCGAGGCGAAAGAGAGACGCCAGAGCAGCAGCCATGTCTTCAAACTGATTAAGCATTAATTGACATTCTCTCTAATCGGTGCATTCACCATTTGAACACAGTAATGGGAATGGTTTATCCGCTGAATACTGATGCCTACCTGAGTGGAGGGGGGAACAGAGCCGAGCAGGTGGACGCTCCTCAGGTAGACCGGTGTGTGGACGCTGTCTCCCGGCTGAAGTGAAGGAGGTTTTAGTGCGGAGCCAGAGCGCCTCCCTGTGGACAATTTCAAAAATGGCCACCTCTTTCTGCTGCCCTAATACTACACTTGTGGTAGCTTCTGGGTACTACCTATATTTCTTAATTTTATACTTCTACTCAGTGGTGTAAAGTAACTAAGTACATTTAGTACTGTACTTCAGTATAATGTTGAGGTACTTGTACTTTACTTGAGTATTTAAATGGATTGCTACTTTGTACTTCTACTCCACTACAATTCAGAGGTAAATAGTCTAAGCCTACTTTTACTCCACTGCATTTATTTAATACCTTTAGTTACTTTGCAAATTTGGATTAATGATATGAAACATAATCAACACTTAAATAAGACTTTAGTTTGGACCTGGAATAAAATCTGAAACTAACATGAAGTAAATAAAAATAATTTACTAGCTGCACCTTTACCACCTTTGATAAACATATTAATGCATCAATAATTATAATCAAAAGATATGATATCATTCCGAAGTGCATAAATAGTACTTTTACTTTTGGTAATTTAAGTATATTTTGATGCTAATACTTTTGTACTTTTACTTAACTTAACTTGACTTTTAGTTGTAACAGAGTATACCTACAATCTGGTACTTCTACTTCTACTTAAGAGTAAGATCTGAGTACTTCTCCCACCTTTGCTTAAATGTCACTTATCAGATGTCCGAAACATTTGTTTTAAACCTCCTTGTATTTCTAGTAATTTAACTATATTAAAGATATCAGAAAATTCCCTCAACAGTACAGTAATTAAGACAGATTACAAAATGTTTGGACCATTTTAAAGTTTGAACGGATTCTGTAGCTGTATGCATGTTGGTGTCCTCTCATCTGAGTTTTGATCTTCAAAAATTAATATAACATTGCTGGAATGCAGCAGCATATATTACATAGCTGGCAACTTCTACAGAATTTAAGTGGACAATTATCAACTGAGTAGATGAGGAGGGTACGGTGCCATATGGCAGGTGGTAGGTTGAATTATTGTCCGCCCTATGCCAACAGTGAAAGACTTTCAGACCTTTTCAGAGGCATTGAGGAGAATTTCCAGTCCCTCTTATGCCACAGATACACACTACAGGAAATGGAAAACCTTAAAAAGCACAATAGGGCATTTTTAATCCTTGATTGTCACACAAAACAACAGAAGCATGTGTTCATATTTGTATCTTTTATGTTTTGCTAGGAAAGAAAAGTCCCAGCAATTTTTAATATGACCTGATTAAAAAACTACTACAGTTAAGTACAAAATGAAATATACCAAAATGACCCAATGCTACCCAGAGAAACAGTATAAAATGAAATGTCTTGAAGTACATCAACAAAAAAAGGTTAAAAAAGGTTACTTAAAAAAAGAAGGCAAGTATCCATCACAAAATGTGCCACTTTACCACAATCAGTTTGCAAAGTCATTCCTTGGATATAAAGTAATGCAAATACTTTACAATAAGTTACCGCAGGAGCGTCTCCCTACGAGTACAGCAAGAACCAAGTAACAGTCAAATGTATCACATAAAAAATACTATTTTTTCCTTTTTGGCAACAATTTCACACAGAAAATTTCAGCGAAAAAACTTCTGGGTAGCAACATTTTTGGTTTCTTGAGAACAATTTACGGGTCGAGGACTTCAGACTGCCTGTATGAGCTTTAGAGACTTACACACTGTATAACCGTGTATTCAAATCATATAAATATATATGAACAAAAATATACTAAAAACTATTTTCCATACAAAAGAGGATTAATGCCAAATGGAAGTTTACGATTATAAACTTCAATAACTTAAAAAGGGAATACTTTCATACTTTTCAGAAACATGATATTTTAGCCCTAATCTCCTTAATATTAAGGCTTTTTTTTCCATCTTCTTGATCAAACAGCACTGTCAAAATAGCCTTCACATGTTCGTGTGAAGAATGCATCAAGTATAAATACTAAAAAAACTCCTGTACAGTACCCACTGATGTCAAAACTACAAAATAAGTTAGTGTCAGGCAACTGTACACATTATTTACAGTTTAAATACAAAGGAAAAAGCGGTATGAAAATGCGACATAACGTGAGCTTTGGCGACAACTAAAAAAGTTTTCATATAGGCAGGAAATGTATGTTTTTATCCACTTTAACTCATAAACCAGCTACAAGATGTTAATTTTTAAATAACATGATTGGCTACCTGCCAAACAAAATTACGGACCGATAAGCAGAGATTTAATCTGTGTAAGCTTTTTGTCTTACAATTTTGGTAAGGCTACCGACATGTTTGTGTTGAAATGATTAAAGAGTGAGGAAGATGAGGGTTGGACATAAAGAGCTTAAGCACAGCCTGCAGGTGGAAAGGACAGAAACACATTCATTTGAGCAGCAGCCGTATCCCATCGGCACATGGTGGGAGTGTGTGTGAGGAGGAGGAGGAGGAATGGATGAGGAGGAGACACCGCCTGTTGCAGCGGGTGCCCAGTAAACATTAGAGGAAAAGGAGGCATTTGGTACAGGAGATGTGTGTGTGTGTGTGTGTGTGTGTGTGTGTGTGTGTGTGTGTGTGTGTGTGTGTGTGTGTGTGTGTGTGTGTGTGTGTGTGTGTGTGTGTGAGACAGAGTATCATCAGTCCACGTCACTGAGGTCGCTGACGGGCTCGTCCTGCACGATGCTCAGGTGGTTCATGGCGCGGCTGTAGGCGATCTGGACAGCCTTGCGTATGCTGGACGTGCGTCCCTCCATCATTTTGATTTTGTCTATGGTCTTGTCCATGCCCAGAGGAACCATCTTGGATCTAGGCAGCCACTGCCTGAGGGGGGAAAGACAGAATGGGTATTAAAACACCAAGGGTTGAATGGAGTTTGAAGTTGTTAATCTTTCATTTGAGGTGAGAAAACAGAATAACAACCATCCTTTGTGTTACTATATTTTTGACAGATTTTGCATAACTTAAATTTGACGAAAAAACCACTGCAGCCCAAAAGTTGATCCAGTTTTGATGTTGCAACAACAGTTTATTAACGTCTGACCTTTAATATTTAGCTGAGATTTTTGAGATTATTTTTAATTTAATAGATCAATCTATCAGTTATTTATTTGAATAACAGTCTAGTCTATAATATGATGACACATGCTCTAAAAGCCAAAGTGAACTTCTTCCAAACGGTTGTTCTGTATAAAACCCCAAAACATTAAATTGACTACTTGTGAACACTCATTTAGAGAAGGCGCTTACGTTTTCAAGCATAAACACAAAAAAGCGTAAAATCATTGTTTTTTGCAGGTAAACTGGAAAAAGATGGAGGTTAAAATCACAGTAAATTCTGCAACCTCAGTTCTTTGTATTCAACCAAAAAAAGTTTAAGTAGTGCAACTAACACTTGCAGATTCCAGCTTTTCAAATGTGAGGGTATACAGTTTTGTTTTTTTTGGGGTTTGAACTGTTGATTAAACAAAACAAGCGTAGGTAAACATTGGCTTTAAGAGACTGTTCCCTCGTAGATGTGGAATATTCTCAGTAGCAGATAAAAATACATGTCTGTTAAAGATTGAAAAACATTCGGGGGGAATCCAGGTGACTTTATTCCCCGGAGCCATTTGTTGTCTCTAGACAAATAATGAGACACGGCCACGAGAGAATAATGATGGGCCTGCGGACACGTTGACAGCTTTTCCCTGGCGGAGAGCAGCGTGAGCTTAAATCATCCTCGGTGACGGCGGCACTCACCAGCTGCGCTTGTTGTCGAAGAAGAGGACGAGGTAGAGTTTCTCTTCGGCTTTGTACTGCATCTGCTCTCCGATGCGGAGCACGTCCATGGGGGGCATGGGGATGGACACCCCGTTGTGCTGGCAGCCCACGCGCGGCATGTGGGGGTCGATGATCTACGCTCAGCAGGGGGAGGCGAGAGGGGAGGCCATTACACACATACTCATAGCATAGAAAACATGCATACATCAATCTGACATATCGTTGAATTCACACTGGATATACACAACGCAGTGTTGGAAAGTAACTAAGTACATTAAGTTAAATACTATACTGTACTATTTTATGCTGCTTCATAATTCTACTACATTTTGGAAGGAAATATTGTACATTTATTTTTAAAGGTTTTTTTTTGGGCTCAAACCTTCGCTCATGCGCACTTGAGTTTTCCTTAAGCCCCGCCTCAGATCTCCCACTCTCGGCTCAGTCATAAGAATGTAGAGGGAAAATAACTCTGGATTCGGCTTTTAGCGCATTTTACTACTTTTAATGCCTAATGATTTTAAATAAGGGCCTTCAAAGTGGGCATTGTCTGTGGGTATTGTATTGTTACACAGTACATGTATGATATTAATGTGTACTTGTAAAAGCGCCTCGATGACTTCGAGGAGTGAAAATGGCCGGTGTGGCGCAGTGCGCTGTGCAATGATTATCAGATCAAGGGGGTGAAACCCGCCGCCGCTGCGTCTGTAAAGCCGTTGTGTTTGTAAAGCCGTTGTGTCCTTGGGCAAGACACTTCACCTGAACTTGCTCCTGTGGGTATTGTCCACAGTAGACCATTACATGTATGTATGATCTGTATGTGCAATGTGTATCTGTAAAGCGCTTTGAGTCATTGATAAAGCGCTATAATAAATATAAGGATTATTAAAGTGTTCGTGCTGGGTAGTTTATTTAGCTTTAAAAAATATATACTCCTATTAACAGACGTCTCTTTCCCTATGCAAGTCAAAGGGGAAAAGTCTCCCTGAAAAACTTCCTGATTCAAATCAGGGCTAAAAAACTTTCTCTCCTGCTGCTTTTCCAGAAGTCATCTAACTAGGTTTTATCCTTGCACTTATACAATGTGAATTTCAACTACTTTCTGTGTCTTTTATGAATTGTCCTTTTGTTTGATTTATTTTGTTTTCCATTATTATTCACATTTTGAATTTCCTTGGTATCTGGAATGTGCTCTATAAATAAACTAACCTCAACCTCTGCACAAACATGGCATTAGTTTCATAATTTGTCCTTTCATGCTAAGGTCAAATTAAACTGGCTAACAGTGCCATCTAGAGGAGGAATAGGAAAGGTCCACCTTTAAAGAACAGCTGCAGTAAACTATTGCTTCTTTTGATGCCATAGTTATGTTATAATGTGAAGAGGTGACAAAAAACGTTGGAGAAAATAGTGATTGTCGTACTTTCTCTCCAAAGAAAAGTCACTCACCAAGGCAGGGTAGGAAGGGTATCCGCTACATTTGGCCCAGATTAGCTTCAGGGGTTCCAGTGCAACTGTTGCAGCACTAGCGGGCATCCAGATATTGCTGTTGCCAACCTCTGTAAGAGCGAGAACCACACATTAAAACACAGGAACACACTTTCAAATCCGTGCAGGGGAAAAATCAAAGTGGGAAATTACGTTTTTATTTAATTTAAAAGCCAGGGTGAATGACAGATATTACAATTTACCAGCCACTTTGAGCGTTTCAATAGCCAAACATGAATTTTAGATGAGGGGAAGGGAGTCCAGATGCTGACTGGTTACATGCCATGATGGCAGGCAGAGCGTCACCGGTCACTGCCAAAAGTCACCAATAGTTGGCGAGTAGCTCCTGTTCATTTCCAACCCTGTGTTTGTTTACCAGGTGTCTGCAAGTTATATCAAGTTTAAACTTTTAGGGACAATTATAACAAGTTAATGCTGAAGCTCAACAGGAACATTTTGATGGTGTTCATGAGACACTTTAAGACATTTTAAAGTTTTACACAACCTACAGAAATCTGTGAAAACACACAACTGTTTACCATACCAAATCTTTTTTTAATATTCAAAGCTTCCATTATATATTTTCACAAAAGTCTAAGGTCATTTTTTCTGACACCCTAAAAAACACATTTTAAATATATTTACTTAGTCTTTTTCTAATTCCATCAATTTTCTTTGCTTATTATATTACTTGTCAGTTGTCTTTCTTAATAACTACATTCCTTTATGTGCAGAGAGTGAGAGAGCAAACAGTAAATACCAAAAATGAAGAATTATTCGGGCTCCGATTCAGGGACTCTTTACTTTCAAACTTGTCCGGCCGTAATATTTGAAATTACTTTTAGACCAATTCATATTTCCTTAATCATCCTTATCAGAAATGGTGTCTTAAACAGGTAGTTTGTAAACACAATGCTACCCTCGCACACGCATACAGATCAGACACATTGAATGCAGTCTTCTTACCTGCAGCGATTCGTGCAGCTTTTGCAAAGTTCCCTGTTTCGATACAGGCGATTAACTCGCTCTTATCGTCCACAGTGTTTCTCCGGACCAAGGCGGGTTTCCCTTTCCCACATTTAGGAAGACTGAGAATAGTGCTGGAAACACAGAAAAGACATGCATGATACATTTGAAAGCCAAGATTACCATTTTCAAGAAAGTATGTCATACAATGAATCGTATCTTTTAGCCGTATTTTAATCTAGACTGATGTGTTACCTGGTGCTGCCTGGCAGGCTGCTACAGGAGGAGATGGAGGACTCGGAGGCGCAGCGTCGCCGTGGCTCCACGGCTCGGCTGGCTCTGCTCGACTCCTCCAGCTCCTGCTCCTCCTCCACCTCCAGAAACCCGCTAGTTAAGCCTGAGAGGAGACAAGGCACAACCGAATAAAAACAAAATCACATCCCAATACAAAAATGTACATGGAAACTGATGTAGAAGAGTAAACAAGTATGTGTTGTTGTATTGATGTGCTTTATTAGCTGTGATGACTTGTACGTTTTGGGATTTCACTTTTTTTATTTTGGGCCTCGAAGCACTGCTAGATACAGCTTTGCTAATTTAATAAGAGCCTTAAAGAAATGTCATTTAAATTCTAACATATGGGGTGTTTCTCAATCGCGAGTACGCTTGCTTGGTAGCACATGTCTGCCGAGCATCTTGCTTCAGAAGCGAGTCAAGAATACTTCCTGGCATTCGGAAAACGAAGAGTGGAACACGCTAGCAAGTGTGCAGGTGTGCGTCATATGAGAGGCCCCGCCTTACATTTTCCGCCACAGATTTGGGGAAATTGGTCCGTGCACAAAGCATTGTGGGGATTTTAAGACCGCGGAGTCTACTCATGTGCAGCCTCGAAATTTCTCGCTACGAAGTACGCCGGGCTCGGTAGAATTCCAAGTATGCTGGACATTGGAACAGTACTTCGGCGGGACTCGATGACGTAGCATGCTTGAAATAGTGGCTCTGCAGCAGCTTTACTCGCGATTGAGAAATACCCTTGGTGACTCAAAGAAATTGCAGACTATAAGGCACTTTGATACATTAAAACATAATAAGTGTTATTCAGTCTTTCTTTTTCTGTGTGTTTTTGGGGCACTCTTCCTACCGGTATCAAGGCGTTTCATAGGGCACTTTCCTTTGTCGCCTCCCGCCTCTACCTCCTCCCTGCTGCGCCTCCTCTTCTTGCTGTGGAGCAGCGTCTCCAGCCTGGGTATGACCACCGACAGGAAGGATTTGGAGCCCAGCTCTTCGACGTCATCCTCCTCCTCTTCCTCCTGCTGCTGCTGCTGCTGCTGCTGCTCGGCCCTTTTTCTGTCGCCGTTCTCCTCCTCCTCGCTCCTCGGGAGTTTGCGTGGGCTGGTGGTCTTCGATTTGCAGAAGAGCACGGCGGTCCGGCGGTTCACCTTGCCCGTGGGCTCTGCGACCGTCGACGTGGCAACAACGCTCACGTCTCCGTCCAGCAGCGAGCTGTGGAGTCGGCCGCGGGAGTGTCCGTTGAGGCGCGGGGCGGAACAGAGCAGGTCTGGGAGTTCCCTGTCGAACTTGAGGCGTTTGCTGTGAGGCTTTTCTTCACGATACGGGGCAGAGTCTATTGGTTTGAGGGTGGGGGGCCCCGGGTCTGAGTCTGACTGGATGTGGTGGGGGATTGAGTCCGAAGGCTCCAGTTTCGGAGGAAGAGACTTATCTCCTGTAGGGGAGAGGGAGAAAGCGGTTTAGTTTTGACTATACGGACAACAGTAATCAAACAGGAAGTGACTAATAAAGGGGCCCTAATATGATCTTTGGGGTTCTCCCTTTCCTGTAGTGGGTCATAGATTTGTATGCATGTAAATGCCAGATGGAGTTTCTCTCCCACACTTCCCCCTTGCCTGAAACACCTCTAGTGTAGTCTTTTGTTTACTTCAGTAACATATTAACATCACTATGTAACACTTGTGCTTCTATGGCTAGCGCTCCAACACATTCTACGTGATAGGCTAAGGGGCGGGACAAAATAGAGCTTTTTGAACATTAAAGCATGGAAACATGTCACAGTAGAGGCACAAAATACATAGATGAACCTGAAAATGAGCATTATATGTCCCCTTCAAGTACAATACATATTTGTAATGTCACAGTTATTATTAATTAGGCACTACAATTTGTTTTTCTTTGTATTTTCAGTGCAGTGTATCCGTTTTTTTTCTAATTTATATTCATACAATTCCCTTCTCTTTTGTCCTCATTACTATGGAATATAATACATTTTATCATGGTAAAGGATTAGCTTTGCAGAGGAGCATAATGAAATTGTTGGCATACTTTTTGGGATAAAAATCTAAATGCTATGCATAAATAGTAAAAACAATACAATCAAAGTTGAGTCATGACAGAGGCAAAAGATATGACCTATGGTATAAAGCTATTACCAACAGTAAAGTGATGCAACACCCACACTTTGTCCTTGCAGAACTGCTGACACGGCACATTTTCAATGGCGTTTAGGTCTATCATAAAACTAAAACAAGGCGTTATTTAGCATAACACTGAGGCACTTACATGAAAAGAAAATGAGAGGAAAATGAATATTTATTTCCCTTTTCCCCCCCTTTACCTCATGAGAAAGCTATCTTCCCCAGACGTAAAGTGAGTGTGCAGTGAGTGTGCACTTTAAGAGGCCAGTGCAGCATACTAAACTATGTTTTAGACATTAATGATTCTTGTTTGATGATGTGGACAACGTTGATTCTATGATTTGGACTTTGGAGTTAATAAAAAGGTTTGAACATTTTGAACCAATGTCAGTTCAAAAAATATTGAAACTGTGTGAATTATCTGGTAGAAGTAGTGTTTGTTGGGCAGAAAAACCTGCAGTTGTTCCACTGGCAATGAACTCCAGGTTTTTTATAACCCATTCCCGTCAAAAAGATACAATTTATTGGCTTCAGGCTATTCAGGACAAGTGAATATCTTTAAAAATCAAAGAGCATGGCGTCAAGCAGAAAAATGACCAATCTAAAGCCAATCCATACGTACCCTCATCATCTGGAAAGTGCCCATTGGGCTTCGATGTCTCCACTTTAGGTTTACTCAACTCTGGGTGGGAGGCGGTTGATGACGCTGATGTGGAGGGGGTTGTGGAGGAGGAAGAAGAGTGGTGGTGATGGTGGTGATGATAGTGATGGTGGTGGGAGGGCAGGACCCTCTTCAGGCTCATTTCATTGCGCACATCGTTGATGGTCTTCTTGAGCAGCTTTAAGCGCTTGCTGCGGGAGGGGCTGGACTTCATGGCACAGGTCAGGTCAAACTTCTCCAACAGTTGCTGCAGCTGCTTGTCTGGAGACAGATGCATCCGATTGGCTGGTACTAGTAGGCGGTCAACTGAAGGATAGAAATAAAACAGGGAGGAGATTGAAACATGTGGTTGTCAATTTTGCACAGGAAGATTCCTAACCTGTATAACCTGGAAGTACATAAGTGGCAGTTAATCCAAGAGCTGTTTGAGTTCTTTGGATGATAAGAAAGTAGCTACAATACACTGGACCATCCTTTATGAAAGGAAAGGACATAATGCTGACCCACAATACCTTGCGTCTGCAACATTTCAATTCACGCACCATTCACGAAAGACATCGCTTGTGACTAAGAAATGTGCGTAATGTAAATTAACAGGGTTTATTTAGCATTCTATTTTATTTCATGACTTATTTCAGTGCTTATATGTTTTAAACTTTCAAGTGACGTTTAACAGCGTTTACTGAAATGTGTGGGAATTATTACATTATTTTCAACATGTCTGAATGGTGCGTCGAAGTGACATTTGTCTTACCGTCCTCCCAGGAAAAGGATTTTCTTTCTGCTTTGATTTCCGGAGCTTCCTGTAGGTGCATGCCACTTTCCGAGTCGAAGCCGATCATCTCCACGTCTCTCCGGGCCTTCCTCAGCAGGGACCCGCCCTGGTCTCGGAGGCGAACGGCCGCCCGGTAGAAATAAGTGTCCTTTGAGTTGTATTTCATGCAATTATCCACAATGAGGTTGAAGTCGTTCTCAAACTGCTCAAAGTTGTTGTAGGCCTGAGCGTCGATGCGCTGCCTCATGGTGGAGAAGTCCATCGGGTGCTTGATGTGGGAGGGGTAGTCAGGCACCTACAGCAAACAGCAGATACAATGGAATTATTTCATATTTACTTTAAACAAATATCATTGTGTGTTGCATATCTACCAACCATCTTGATCAAAATATAATTTTAGCATCTAAAAAGGCGAGTCAAGGATTATTTGATTGTCAGTAAAATAAGACTTCCTGCTTTTATCTGATTTCTAATACATTTACAATATTAATTTTCTACACCATAAAATGAATGAAAGAGGCCCTTTTATGACGCACAAGACAGAGAAACCCCAAAGAGCATAATAAGGCCCCTTTAATGAATTTAGAAAACAATCATTAGATCTTTTGATATGAAAGAATATCCTTATTTGCAGTAATTATCTAAAGTGATTCATGTCAGCATGACCGTAGTAAATCATGTTACTCTGTTGGGTCATTATCTTTAGCAACAACAAATAAAATACTTGTAAGCAAAACCAATATTATTCCAGATTTTTCCAGATTATTACAAAGTCTTTAAAATGAAACATCTATATGCAGATGATAAGTTTTTTCTTTCAAGCTCAGTAACTAGTAACCTAAAGGCCTCCCGAGACAAAAGCAGCGCCCAACGTGGGGCTCGAACCCACGACCCTGAGATTAAGAGTCTCATGCTCTACCGACTGAGCTAGCCGGGCATGCAGCGACAGGAAACATCCCCCTTTTTCTCACGTCACTATCTGCCAGTGGACCTTACTCTTGAGTTACACATTCCACACAACAGGAAGTCACATTGCTCAACACTGTCGACACCAGGAGAAGGGGGCTGATTTATAACCACTATGATCCGAGCCTGTGACATGGAGCGAGAGCGGTTGACTGAGCGTGGTGTGTTCAAATGCAATGAACGGGAAAGAAAAGGTTAATAAGTGGTGGTTGTTTTTTACTTGGTGTGTCAGGGCTTTTGGAGATTAAACTCCAATTAAAAGTAATTGTTGGCGTGGCTTGCAATTGTTTTAAAACATCTCTGAAGTAGTTATCTAGAAAAACAGGTAAAAACCCAATTGTGTTGAGCTCTGAACCAGCAAGTCCAGTTTAGAGCCTTATCAAACAGGAAGGCTCTGGCTGGCCATTGTAGTTAAAAATCTGGATTGGAAACCTCTTAAAAAGTTAATCATAGCTGCAGTGACTTTCTTCTTTTGCTTACAATACAGATCTCTATCTCACATGCCTGATTAGCCAACACAAAGTGCTGCTATTGCCAAAAAGTAAAAGAATCCTTGGTGAAGCCCCCTGCCACAACGCTACAATTGCACACAATTAACAACATAAAAGTATCAGAGATAAGTAGATCAAGATAACGACAAAAAACTAAAATGCTCTCTTGAGAATTACAAGAAAAACAATTGTTTAGCTGTTTATTTCCCCGCAGTGTTCCTATTCTTCCTTAGGTTCAATTGTTTGGGTGCATGTGTGGCATCCAAAAGAAAACACAATAAAATAGTATGGTCAAACTCAGCAAGAGAACTTAAAAAAGTGTTTACCTCGCTGATGTCGACCGGCTGTGTGAAGATCTTGGCCTGGTCTTTTGTCTGGAGCTGGTCCAATAGCCCTTTGAGCAAAATACTGAACGGACACAACTGGATCTCTAGAAGGCTCTCCTGCAGTTTAATCTACAAAACAGCACAGAGGGAAACCGTAAGAAGGTTTTTCCATGTATTTTACAGAATGTAAATCAGAACACAAGTGAAGTCCCAGTTCTACCTCGAGAATGGTGCATCTCAAGGAATTTATCCTAATAAATAAATGTCTATATACCTCCTCCCTCTTCATCTTCTCCCTCTTGCGGATCAGCTCCAGCAGCAGCCGCGCTCTCTCCAGGTCGTGTCGGAGACGATGCCACTCCTTCAGCTGCTCCTTCAGCGCCCTGCTCTCCTCCTCATTCTGCTTCTGGAAAGTATAATAAGAATACAGACATTCAGATCAATGGCTAACAACTTGAATAACAGGTGAGGGTTTCTCAAGATACACTTTTTAAACATTTCTTCACGGCAAACGGCTACATATTTAGCATAAGCATGAACACCTTGTTGAGAGCATGCAAGTCAAGTTTCTAAAAACTACAGGTAGATAAAAAGCTAAATGAGAAACTGATAGTCTCCTGTGTTTGACTGACAGATAAACAAACCGGTTGCGTATTCTTCTGAGACTGCATGCTCGTCTGTAGGCGTCTGATGAGGGGGAGCCCGTTCCTGGATTGCCTCTTTAGTGTCCAGTAATTTAGGGCCAGCTCCACAAAAGCTTTTTTCTTCTGAACCGACACCTGGTTGAAAATGGTTTGTAACCTAGGGGAGCCGGGAAGATAGGTATTAGAAGGAGAGATACCAACATCTGGCACACTTCAAAAGGCTTCTAGGCTTCTTGCAGGATTATGCAAGCCAAGAATAATACAGCGGCTTATTACACGTGGTTGCGGTTTTTTTAATTAGGGTAAATGAACAGCCGCAAACAAGCTTTAACCTGAATTTGACTGACACTCGACGCAGAGCAAATGCATGCCAGCAGATCACTGAAGCTTCTATTTGTGAATGCAAACATTTATCTCGTGCTCAAACCCCACAACAGCCAATGTTTATATATCAACAGCAGACTGTCTTATCAGTGTCCTTGAAAAAAAATGAAAAACCCTCCCAATATCACCACTCCTGGCATCAAAGCACTAAAACACAACATAACACCCATCATTAAAGGGTCTGATTTTCAGGTTCATATTTGTTTGTGCCGCTTCTATGACATGTTTACATGCTTTAATGATCAATATGTTTCTCATACTGCCTGTGCTGTCTGCCTGTAACTAGAGCCCAGTCTGAGAAGCGTGAGTGTTACACAGTGATGTCACGTGTTACGGAAGTAAACAAAATATACCAACTTAGGCGTTTCAGTCAGGGGGCAGTATGTGGGAGGAAAACTCCCTCTGGAACTTATAAAAACAATATAACATGACAGGAAAGGGAAACCCCCAAAAAGCATGAAAGGGCCCCTTTAATACAACTTTTAAAGCACACCTGTGAGCGGGAAACGTAGGCACAGCAGCAGGAGTCACAGCTTCACTCTCAGCTTCAGCTTCAGGCTCAGGCTTCTTACTCTTCTTCTTTCCTTTAGACGATCCTTTCCCAGCACCTCTCCCTTTGTCCACTTTCTTACATAGTCCGTTTTTGGGTTTGGCCTCATTGTAGATTGTTAGAGGCCTCCTTACACACCCGTTTGGTGTGTGCGCTCCACAGTATGCCGTCTTCTTCACAGAAAACGTGGGCTCCCCAGTGTCCGTTACCTCCTTGATCGGCTCCATCTTCATAAAGAGGCCAGCCTTTTGGGCGCAGCTGACATGGAAGGCGGTGTAACAGTTGGCTTTGTGGCACTGGATGCACGCCCCCACACCTTTCTCCTTGCAGAGGTAGCAGGTGAGCTTCCAGCGGGCGGGAGGAATGTGGCTGACACCGTCTATGGGTTCGATGAAGGTGGTGTTGGTGAAGCCGACCTCAGGGACCCAGAGGGCGCACACCACGTGGCCCCAGCGCTCATCTACTGTCTTTTTCAGTGCTCCCCCCTTATTAGGACAGAGGATACAGTCTAAAGGCTGGGTGGGTACCTGAAGGCAGTGTCTGCAAAGCCACTGGCCCTCAGGAATATACGGCACACCGTAACATTCCTGGTGCACGGCCACGTTGCACATGTCGCAAAACAGGATAGCGTTGCTGTTGTGACACTCTCCGTCCATGCAGATGCAGCAGACGGCGTCCTCGTCAATGGGAGCATGCTTTTCACCGCCTTGGTCCAAACTCTCCAAGTGCAACTCTTTCTCAAAGCGATCAACAAGAAACTCAAAGACGTTGTGAGAGACCTGACTGACCCCTTCGCTTTTCCGTTTCTCATTCACCAAATCCAACCAGGCATAATCCTCCTCGTCCATGTCGTATTCTGTGTCCTCGTCCAGCTCTTCCTCTGTCTTCTCTGTGTATTTATAAAAGGCGGATGAGCGCTTAGGAACTGCTGGAAGATTATATTCCACAGTACGAAATTTAGGCTCATTGAGTTTTGGACCAGTATTGGCAGCAGGAGGCTGATGTCCACCTCCATGTCCAGGACTGGTGATGCCCAGCGCAGCGTTTCTCTTCTCCTGGTTGTTTTTTAATCGGACAGACCTCAGGAGGACCTGCTGCGGTTTCTCAGCATTCTCCTTATTGCTGGTGCACTCCATCATCTCCTGCACCATGGGGTCATCATCTGAGATCACGTCCAGCTGGTCGTATATGCTGATTCGATGGAGGCGGCCATCGAGATCGAACTCCACCATGCTCTGCGCCTGGGCGTACGTCAGGATCTGCTTGTTGGGGGAAGGCATGATGGGAGACGACGGCCTCTGCGGCACCGCAACCCGGTGCTGCCGAGCTTTCTTCTTCATCTTGGTGCTCCGTGTTGCTGTGGAGAAAGAGTGAGGAGATATGGTCAGAGATCTGCACGTATTAATTGAAATGGTTAAAAAAAAAAAAAGGTAAAAATGGTGGATTTTTATCAAGGAGCTACTTTTCAGGGGTAAGGAAAAACAATAACCTTTATCATTTACTCATGAAGTATTCTGGGCTTAAAGTGCTTAATTATTTGACATACACCTCCACTTCCTTTGCTATAAAACATTCTTAACGGTTTTAAAAGCTATAGTTTTTATTGTTATATATATATATAGGCTTTCCATCAGCACTAAATCAGGCTGTCAAAAATATTGGGTAACCCTGCAAGTAAAATAACAAATAGACCAGGAAAAATACATTCTACACTCGCATTACAACTTTTCTCGCAGTGAAAATGTAGCTATTTTAAACTAAGAGATACAGCATTCTCATTTAATCCAAAACTCTATGGACCAAACCACAGAAAAGTGAAACATGTTTAATTTAAAAGCATTATACCTAAAGATTAGCAGCTGACTTGTAGAGCAAAAGTCAATGCTATAAAAAGTAAAGCTTCAAGCTGCAGGGACCTTATGTTGTGCACTGTAACGTTAGTAGACAGCTGTACGTTACACTTTTGTCAATGAGCTGAGGCATTTCAATGCGGTGGGAGGCGGCCACACAGGGCACTTTAAACATGACTGCACAGGAGTTAGTGCTTGCCCATTTGGTGCAGAGAGGAAACTGCCTTTTACACTAACGCCTCACAAAGTAGCCAAGTTGCTAACAATAACATTAGCTACCCTGCTAACTAGCCAGAGGAGCTAGCCAGCAGGCAAATGGCGTCAAACAAAACAAGAGACCTTTAAAACGTCTCCTAATTCATACCGAATGTGTGACATAAAAACACATTTTGCACATGCACTGAATGCTTTCTAGTCGTTATAACACATAGCACAGAAAAGCACATAAAGCAGAAGAACATACCTCGGATTCACGAACAGTTTTGCTAGTTGAGGAAGACGGTAGCTAGCCAGCAGCCTTACAAAGCAATGGCGATACGGCCTGCTAAGTGGCTCTAATTCCGTACACAGTGTTCTCATCCAACGATACTGGGGTTGCTATTAAAATAAGAAACACGCCTGCTTGGTGCCTGAGGAGTTTCGGTATTCAATGCAACAGAGAACACACAATTAGTAGCTTTGTGGACCATTCATAGGCTAGAGAAACTCGCTAGCCACAGGAGCAAATAGCAGCAACACGGACGGCTCATCCCCCAACACAACAATGCGTTTCACCAGACAACTCCCACCCGCACGCAATACTCTACGTGTGACGCTGGAGGTCATGTTGGTGGTGACTCGTAGATTTCACACAAAAGCCCATCTGTCACACGATCAATGCATTGCCTTTTGTCGATCCTCGCTAGAGCTATACACAGACAAAGCAGAGCATAACACTGTGTGAGTAAAAGCTCTGTGTCTGTGTGTCTGTGTGTCTGTGTGTCTGTGTGTGTGTGTGTGTGTGTGTGTGGCTCTGTAAAATAATATCCAGTTAATATTACTTTCCCACTGGTTTTCCTGTCAGTCATGCAACCAGTTATTGATTCAGCATTTCTCCTCTAGTCTCGCAGAGGACAGTCATGAGGACGCAGGCAGAGAAACACACAGAACATGTATTTGCCCCACCCTGGTGACCGGTTTTCCCACAGCTCTATCCCAGAAAGCCAGTTGGTTTAGTTCAGTTACCGCATTTTAGTCAATGAAATCCCATGTATTTACTGTATACTATAGAGTAGACTGTATGTACTCAAAATGTTCCCATTTTAACTGCGAGCTCATTGTCCCAGAATGACCGTGAATACAACACATGAGAATGTATTCATTGAGCATTAATTATATAGCAGTACTAGTAACATGTATATGTGGTCGATGTTTGTTTGTTTATTTTAAACTCACAATTTTGGTTCTCTATTTTTTTCGAAAAGCAATTAAATTCGACTTCTTTAATTTAGCTACTTCCCCAAGAACTACATGGCTTGGGAAAGAATAACACTGCATTTTTGTCATTATTTGCTATATTAATGTATTATTATTTCAGCACATGTCACTTTAAAATGTTTGAAATGTTAATAAGTTCACCATTTAGAATAATAATACACTTTATTTATATGGCGCCTTTCATGCAAGATGCAGCCCAACGTGCTTTACAGAGCAATAGATACATAAAAATAACAATGAGTAAAAATAAAGAGTAAGGAACTTAATTAAATACAAGTTATTCAAAAAAGTATTCCATGTCTCCTAGATTCAATTAATTAATTAATACTAAAAGCCACTTAGTGTGTCATTTTAATATTTGATAATGTACCTTAATGAGTGGAAAGATAAATTAAGAAAATGTTTTCTATTCTTTTTTTTAATTCAAGAACATATATGAACATCATATATTTTGTATTGAAAAAAGGTCACATCAGGGGTAGACATAACAAGTAACAAAAAATGACGTAAAATAAATAAAGTAAAAAATAAAAATATTGTTTTGTTAAATACTCAAATCGTTTTGATTGCCTTTTTATTCATAATGTTTTTAATGGTGCTACTATATTGTTTTAATTCATGGTAAAACAATCTCTAAATTTGGTTTGGAGTCAGCCCAAGAACATGTTTTATGTGACATATATCTGAAATGTATGACCTCCCCCCCCCTTCACCCAGTGACATCACCAAACATGTTCCTTCCGTCCGACGCTGTGTGGAGCTGCTCCGGCCGAACGTGAACTGCTAGCAAACCAGGAGACAAAAGCAACAAAGTGAACCCCCCCCTCCGGATCAATCAAATGTGTCATATTTAACTGTTTAGGAGCCGAAACCTGGAGATCACACCGATCATACTTCACAGTGAGTATCCTGAGAGCATTGTACATGTGTGAGGGGGGTTTTAAAGCGGGCAGGACGTCGTGGGGAGAGCTGGTCTGATTCGGATCCCGTGCGGTTCGTGTGTTGCTGGGTTCTGCCTCGCCAGGTTAGCTAGTGTGTCCTGTGTGTGGCCTAGCTGGCAGCTAACCAGCTAGCAGACGTGGTGTGGTCCGAACTGTACTAAATGTGTCATTACAACGTTAATAAGATACTTATAGAAGTTGTTTTGTCTTTTTTTGTTTTTGTTTTACAAACCCATGTGACACTAGTGCTCAGCCCGTGTGTTGTTTTTGTGTGTTTATTAGCCTTTAGCTAAGTGGGTTAGCACCAAGATAGCCACCGTGGTGTTTACTGATGATGTAGCTTAAGCTAACTGTGTTTTGTTATAAGGTTATAAAGGTTTATTAGCATGAGGTTCGCACATGTTTCAGGATTTATGTTCGCTGTGGTTCAATGAGAGTTCATGTAAAGCCGGTAGTGGGCTAAATAACCATTTACAACTTGATGTGTAGTGTAAAGATGGAAGCTAGTCAGCGTTGGCTATTTTCTGCTGTCCTCTCGTATCTTCCTGACTAGACGAGCACTCTAGCCAAACCCGGAAAACTGCCTGTCACTAGGAAGTGGCTACTTTTTTTTTTTAAATGCCCTTTTAAGTCAAACCCTATGTAATCAAGGATACAATTGTTTATGCTGGTCCCATTCATGATTTGGGATTATTTGTAATCGTTTATTAGTAACGGTTTGACTGCATTTGTGTAAGACTTATTTACTTTGGCTAACGTTAATACTTACTTACAAATGTACATATAGTGCAAAGTGAGGCACTGGTTGTTCATAACCACATTTGACCTGTGGTGCACCTGATCAAGGTACAGAGAGATGTGTTAACAAAGTACACATCAGATACCAGTTCATTATGTACGCTTAACCAAAACTAATGCAGTCTTGTGCAATTTAAGAACACTTTCAGGAGGAATACATTGTAGACTGTTGGTTTTTTTTAACTGGATTGCCTTTTATTGAGGTGTTTCTTATATAATTGTGTCCACCCCATTTATTAAAAGTGAGTGTAGAATATTTATTTAAAAACATATTTTCTAATACAATTTTAACAAAAGAGTATTCTAACCTTTGTTAAGGCTATGTGTATTCTATAATTTTTAGCTAATACACTGATATACGAGCAATTTAACATTCTTTTGGTATATTTAAATATATGTATTGACATTTGTCATACTCAGGATTATTTTTTAAACATTGTGGTGCTTATAATGCATTTATTGTCTATTAAGATACTAATATTATCTCCGAATTAGAAGACTAGTCTACAAATGTGAGTCACACAGTTCTGTTAACAACCAGATATACTGCATAGCTGTTTTTGCCCATTCATTCCTAAAGATATGCTATCAGATGCTAGAGTGGTTTAAAGTTGAAGATTTATGCATAGATTAGCTATACCATTGACATTTATACATAATCAAATGTGATAAGAAATAAGTTACTGTTGTTGGATAAAAACTGAACACTCTAATTCTACAGTATACATATTGCTAATATTCCTGTGCTGGTTAGCATTATTAATCCACTACATTGCATAATGTTTGCATACAGTTAAAAAAGGATGACAAGAGATTATCACATTTGTGGGGAGAGTAAGCACCGGTTATTATAATTGATTCAGAAGGCTTCCCGAATTGTGCAACAGTTTTGTGGAAGTAGCTTGAAGAGGTGTTCCTCATCTTGATAAGTGTTTTGGATTTGCATATGTTAGCTGTGAGACAAAACCTGAAAAGGCTCATGGAGGTGGGGGACCTGCAAGTTTATTTACATGTGCAGGTCTTTGTGCCCGGTAGCCTCTCAGCAACAACATAACGTCCGGGCAGTGCTTGTCAACTTGCAAATTCAAACATTTCCATGTTTATTTGCACAACGTTGCTCTCAAAGGAAAATCCAAAAGGTCAATAAAAGCTGTGTTTTATGGAACGTGATTTTGGAGCAGGAACTGTTACTGTTATTGCACCACACCATAGCAGCTGAGCCCTGTATGAATGGTCTGTTAAAATGTATTAAGAAATAAGGGGAAAGTAAAATGACATTAACTTTAGCGTTTCGCAGAATATCTTTATTAGCTGTTTTTTGGAGTCGTCTTCTTACTTGAGACTACACTTTGATAATTGTTTTTTATCTTTCCCTCTCTCTAGGTTGTGTGTGGAGAGATGGGACTACTTCAGTCATAAATGGAGAGGGACACGCAGGCACCCTGTGTCCCGGTCAGCAACACGCTCATAACAACACCGGCTTGAGAGCTGTAGTATCGATGACTACACCTGGAAAAAGTGACTACATTTGACAAAGCAGACCTGACTGTTCTACCAAAACCCTTGGGCTGCTGCCATGGATGGGGAGGAAGAGGTGTCTCCCATGAGTGAGGATGTGGTCAGTGAACCCAATGGCACCACGGAAAGTAAAAAGAGAGAGGCCAAAGGGACCTGCCTGAAAATTGAAGGCCAGGATGGCTACGTGTTCAAGTCCTACAGCATCAAGCCTCATGAGGCTGCTGATGCAAAGTCACCTGCAAGCTCTTTAACACTGGATAAAGACCCTCCACAATCTCCCCCTTTATCTCCTCAGGATGACAAACTGTTGGAGTCAGACAAAGCAAGTGAGACTGATCCAGCTTCTCCCACTCTTTCAAATAAATGCCTAAACACTGAATCTGAGGGGAATACGGAGAAGGAAAATGGGGATGAAGCAAGTCAACATATCAAAGAGGAGATTGTGGACACAAATGGAATGGAGGATGAAACCCAAGATGACGAAAGGCTAGGATTCGGTAGCTCTGTTGGCCCTTTTGTAACTAGAGATGGTGATGATTACAGTAATTTACTAAATGGATACACAAGCACCCTTTATGATGTTGCCATGGACGCTGTCACTCAGAGCCTTCTGTCATCTATGAGGAGTAATAACAACCCTAGGAAGAAATCCCCTGCATGGAATCATTTTTGCATATCACCACGAGACAGTACCAAAGCAATCTGTTTATACTGCATGAAAGAGTTCAGTCGGGGCAAGAACGAGAAAGACCTCAGCACGAGTTGTTTAATGAGGCACGTGCGAAGGGCTCACCCCACTGTGCTTTTACAAGACGGAGCAGACGCATCCTCAAATAATCTCACCAGCTCCTTCTCCTCATCTTTGATACCTCCATCCCCAAACTCACCAAAAAACGGAGACTTGACAAATTCTTCTGCCTCAAAGAACACTTCACCGTCCACCTCCTCAGCTGATAACTCAGACCTGTCATCCAAAGAAGTGTTACCCAAAGTCGAACCAAAACTAGAACCGCTTGCCAACACTGATACAATTTTTAGCTCGCTCTCATCCTCACATTCCAATGAAAACAACCTTGAAAATATGTCCGACAGTGGGCCTGATCGCCTCCCCGGGACCCCAAAAAGCTCAAGTTCCCGCCGGAGATCAGCTGTATGGAAACACTTCTACCTGTCGCCTGCTGACAGTTCCAAAGCTGTATGCATCCATTGCATGAATGAATTCAGTAGGGGGAAAAATGGGAAGGATCTAGGGACAAGCTGTCTTATCCGTCACATGTGGAGGGCCCACAAAGAGGTTGTCATTGAGGAAAATGGACAGGGCAATCACATTCCCCCACCCTATTCAAACCCACCCTCACTACTGTCCCGCACACAACTACAGGATCCTCTAGACATAAAAAAAGAATCACCCCTTCTTCCATCCTCGCCAGAAACCATATCAGATGAATTACCCCAAAGCATGGATGAAAGCATGGACATAAAAGAGGAATCAGATGAGGTGATGAATCTTTCAGGGCAGGAATCCTCTGTCAATCTCTTCTTCAAAAATCAGGAGGAGGACCCACCCCTAACTTCCTCACCATGCGACCTCTCTGAGGGCCCGAGTCTCAATCAGGATCATTCAGTTTTCCAGCAAAACAAAAAGATCATGAAACGGGTGAAATCAGAAGTGTGGCACCATTTTATAGTGTCACAAATTGACCAGTTGAAAGCACTGTGCCGTTACTGTCCATGCGTCATCAGCCGGGGGAAACGGGGCGACTTTGGTACAAGTTGTCTGATGAGGCATCTAATGAGACGCCACCCAGACGTTCTCAAAAACCAAAAAAGCACAGATGAGAAGGATTCCTCTCCTCACCCCTACACTAATCTCACCACGACAGATGCAGTTTCAACCAAAGAAACTGAGAGCCCCGCCTGTGAGAAGAAACCACAAACACTGCCCGGTTTCAGTAAAAAGACGTCAAAACTGTGGAACCATTTCTCCATTTCACCTACTGACCCCACAAAGGTGATTTGTTTGCACTGTGGCCGCACAATTAGCAGAGGCAAAAAGACTACTAACCTCGGCACAAGCTGCCTCTTCAGGCACATGCAAAGGTTTCATGGACATATTCTTGAAAGTAAAAATGCTATCTCAGGTGAAGTGCCGTCTGCTGAAATTAATGTCAAACAAGAGCTCATGGACACTTCTGTTTATGAAACGGAACAGAACCTTGAAAGGTTTGATGAACACCACCCGGTTGCCAAAAAAATCACCAAACTTATCGCAGAAATGCTCGCACTGGATCTTCAGCCATCAGCTATGGTGGAGAATGCTGGACTAAACCGACTACTAGAGTACCTCCAGCCTCAGTATTCTCTACCAACTTCTTCTTACTTTACCAGCACTGCCATACCAGATATGTACGAAAGGGTGAAGGAAGTTGTGCTGACCCACCTGAAAGAGGCCGAAGGTGGTGTTGTCCACTTCACAACTAGTATTTGGGTCAGCAGTCAGACACGGGAATACCTGACCCTTACTGCCCACTGGGCGACTTACGAGTCAAGCGTCAGACCGCAGGGTCAGGACTTTCACTGCTCCGCTCTCCTAAGTGTCTCCCAAATAGACTGTGATCAAGATATGCATGACATCCCAAAGCAGCTGGAGTATCTGTGGGATTCTTGGGTCACCTCATCAGGGCTGAAAAAGGGGTTCACTGTAACGGATAACAACACCATCAGAAACACCTTGGAGGACCATGGACATGTCGCCATGCAGTGTTTCGGACACACTATTGACCTCATTGTTAGCGAAGCCATAAAAAGCCAGAGAATGGTTCAGAACCTTCTGAGTATCGCACGGAAGATCTGTGAACGGGTGCACCGCTCAGCAAAGGCCAAGGAGAAGCTGGCCGAGCTGCAGAGGGTCCACGAGCTGCCAGAGAACCAACTAATTCAGGACGTTCCTTCCAAATGGAGGACTTCCTTCTTCATGTTGGAGCGGCTTGTAGAACAGAAGAAAGCCATCGACGAGATGTCGATTGAATGCAATTTCAGGGAAATGATCAGCTGCGATCAGTGGGAGGTGATGCTGTCGGTCTGCAATGCACTGAAACCTTTCGAGGTCGCCTGCAGGGAGATGAGCAACCGCACTGCCACTCTGGGACAAGTGATACCACTCATCCACATCCTCAACAGAAAGATAGACCTGCTGTTTGACGAAACGGTGGGCATAGACAACATGCTAATGTCTCTAAAGGAAGCCATGGTGAGCAAAATGTCCACAACACTGCACGACCCACGATACACCTGGGCGACCATGCTGGACCCAAGATACAAGACTTCGTTGTTCACAGAGGAAGAAGCAGAGCAATGTAAACAAGATCTGATCGGTGAGATGGAGTCATCCTCTTCTACCTCAGTCGGGGTAAAGCCTCTGCTGCCAAACGGCTGCAACGAGGCCCCCGCTTCAGCCAACGCCCCCCACCAAAACAAGGACAACCTCTGGTCTCTAATGGCGGACATCCGACAAAAGATCAAACACGAGGAGAAGCCAAAGTCCTCTGAGCTGGCAGTGCTGGAGTACCTCGAGGAAGACATACTCGATCAAAGCTGTGACCCCCTCGACTATTGGAACCTGAAAAAGTTCCTGTGGCCCGATCTTGCCAAAGTAGCCGCCCGTTACGTGGGCTGCCCCCCAAGCATCGTCCCGTCGGAGACACTGTTCAGCACCGCTAGTGTCAACTGTGCCCTAAATCAGCCCAGACCTTTACTGGAAAACATGGAAGGGTTGCTGTTCCTCAAAGTCAACCTCCCTTTGATTTATTTTCAGTACTGATTATTGTCGAGCATTAACTTGAAAACCCTTTATCGAGGACCAAGTTGCATAGCTGTGAAAGGGTTTATTTTTCCTGTTGGGCTTAATGTAAAATATCGATTTATACACTGATTGATTCTCACTGCAATGGCCAGATTTTGAGGTTTTATTTTATTCTGTGTACTACTGTTAAAACACTTTTGTGATGAAAAGTCTCAGTGAAAAGTGTATCAGGGAGGGAGGGTTTTTCTAGCTGTAGGGGTTGGTGATGATGTGTGTGCTTGTAAATCAATGTTTTTTGCGTTTTCTGTGTCTACTCTCTCCTTGTGCCTTATCCAAAAACTACTTCAGGTCAAAATGCTGTAAATATTTTTGTTAAATTACTCTGATCACGTCAGGATGCTTTTTTTGATTACTGTGTATTAAAAGATAGATGCGGAGTTGTTTTCTGATTGAAAACATGGCCCAAAAATAAATGCTGTGACTGAAAGATGTTTAAGTTAATGTTATTTAATTTTCATTGTGAATTTGTGGCTCATGGTACTGTCATTTAGAAATAGTTTTTTTTTTTTTTTACTTGCTGAAATGTTTTTTTTTTTTTTACAAGATCATGTATAATATTGCTGTATTTTCAGAATAACACGTTTGTTTGAAATACACGATGGGTCTCTTAAGCACAATTTAAGTTTATGTCCAGGGGATTAAATTATGGGTTTATTATTAAGTAAGACAATGTACTGTACATTTTTATATTAAATGACTTCTGAACCTAATTTGATAAATGTTTTAGCATTGAGACTGGAACCATGTACATTTTGTGGTCATTTTTAAATAAAGGTTTTCCTTATGCAAAATTGCAGGTGTATTTCTTTGGTAAGCAATAAGATGTAGTTAAAGGTAGGGTAGGTAAGTTTGAGAAACCGGCTCGAGATACACTTTTTGTTATATTCCATGGAATGCTCTTAACATCCCGATAGCAATAAATATCTTAAGTGCTTTGACAAAAAATCCATAAAAAAATGTTCATCTGTGGAAGCCGTAATACTGTAAAAAGTACGACCAATCATTTTAGCCGGCCCGGCTAAAATAACTGGATGACCTACCTGCCTGTCAGCCTTCCATCTGTGCACAAACTCATCTCGTGCCCTCATTGGTCATGTGCGCGTTCGTGTGTGTTGGAGGAGGGGCTCTATAAGGAAGTGGCAGATTTTCTCCGGTTGTGTATTTTCAAATTCTAGCGATCTCGAGCCGGTTTCTCAAACTTACCTACCCCACCTTTAAATGTACAAATCATTCATAATTAATGTGCAATTTAGGAATTCACTCAGTTTCAGCTTTATTTATCTATAAAATCTATCAATATACAAATACACATTTTTCTTGAATAATTTGTTTGCTATTCATGAGAAATTGAATGCATTATACATCAGCAAAACAAGAGATAACTATTTAAACATGATGTAAGACAGTGTAGTGCAACATGTCTCTAAATATAACCTTTGAGAACACTTGTTTTGGTCCTCTTTAGTCCTATTTTTTGGTCATTTAGTTACCAAGTCATCCTTTTAGTCGTCCGGTTGCAGTGTTTCTCTCCATGAGCACAGCTTTTCTCTCTAACCGCACGGTGACAGGTGGGAAGTGAAACATGTTGAAGGCAATGTTGCTGTAACCTTCAATGAAGGTCAGAGGCTGGTGAGTGTCCTGGAGTTGCTGTATTTTGGTGACATTAGCCTCCATCAGCAGGTGTGTGTACATTTTGATGTCAGGATGTGTGAGGCTCAGGTCCTCACGTTTGTCATATCTGTTCAAAAAGAAACAGAAGTGAGTGCATTACAGAAGTGATATTGGGTACATTAGACTTGACCAATGTGGGTTGAAAGTGAAACTCTCACCTCCAGTTTCTGTTCTGCTCTAAGAAGCGAGAGACTCCGGTTTCAGCAGCATAGGTGTCGATATGAACAAAGACATCTGAGGGGGACATTGTTTACATCAATAAAAGGTTTAATGAAAGGTTTTAATGATTGAGTATAATTGGATTACAGGAAAGAAACATTTTTGTTTACTTAATGAAATTGTAGCAACACTAGATTGTAAAAGTACAAGTCCTGCATACAAAATTATTGGTATCAAAATAAAGTTAAAGTACCAAAAATAAAAGTATTTGTTATGAGTTATGGCCCATTTCAGAATAATGTACAATATATAATATTAAATTACTGGATTATATCTATTGATGCATTAATGTGTTCATCACGGCTGGTAAATGTAGAGCTAATTTACATTTCTTTGTATGCTGCTGGATATCTAGCACTGATTATAATTCAATGTTTATTTAATAGTTATTTCATATTTTGAATTCCCTTTTAATTTAAATCTGTAAAGTGACTGAAACTCTCAATTAAATATAGTGCAGTAAAAAGTAGAATATTGGCTTCCAAAATTAGTGGAGTATATATGCTATATAAAGTAACTAAATATACTCAGGTATTTCTTCAGGTTATGTTCTTTATTACATTCCACCACTGGTTTAATGTGAACACTATTTCAATCATTTTAGGTTAGATACTCGAATAACATACCAACAATTGGAAGGAAATCCAATAATTTCCAGAAAACGTGCATACTGCATACACATATGGTCTAATTATTCTATGATGGTGACATTTTAAAAACATTGAGTCAGTAGCCCTTCTTGAAGGTGGAGCTAATTAATAGTGTTATAGAAACACGCCCTAGAGTTCAAATGTGCTGGAAGTGATTCTAACCTGCGGCGCCTGGCATCAACCGGTGCAGTTCCTGCAGCGCTCGGCCCCCTGGGTAGTTGTGGTGGGAGACGTAGAGGCTTAAGCCGGAGTACGCTGCGTTGGTCAATAGCTGGCCGACGACCACCGCAGAGCCCACTTTATACATCCAGGACTTCTGGTAGTTACACAAACTGAAGTACAAAATGAAACAAAGAGGTGAGTGATCTATCGGGGAGAAAGAATCAACTTCATGTAGGTCAACTACCACTCAAAACCCACTTGCTTTTATATGATCTTATTTATGTTTTTATGGCTTTACATTTTGTTGTTTTTTATATTAGGGCACTCACATAAAGGTGTAATATAAATACATGTTATTATTTTACCACATATATATTATTATACTATTCACAGGGTATAGCAGAAAGAAATTACATTGCATACAGCTCACAAATGTAATTAAAAAAAAGTAGAATCAACAACTAATTAATGTTAACATACTGTACACAAATCATTAGTTTAGTGCATTTTTTTTAAATACTAAAAATACCAAGAATAAATAGGTCCTAACCTGAAAAAATTACCTAAAATAAATTTAAATGCGACATATAACAACAACAAAAATCACACATAGGTTAAAGCATATGTGAGTATGTGGATTGTGTTGGAATCCATCAGACGCCGCTATTGGTTGATTAATTTCCTGCCCTGCTTTATGGAAGAATGTAATATGTTTGGATTTACATGAAGGAGCAGCCTCGGGCAGCCACTAGGCTGAGCACGGGGAAAGTGTATATGATGAAGCGCAGCTCCTTGTGGGGCAGCAGCGAGTAGAGGAGGATGAAGCCGACGGTGGGGAGCAGCAGGAACCTCATCCGCCTGTCGAGGAGGCCGAGGGGGACGAAGAGCAGCGTGCAGCCCAGAGCGCGGGGCACAGCGGAGTAAAAGTACCACAGAAAGGGAGAGGTTTACTGGGGAGAGGAGTCAAGGAGGTTACTCTTTTCAGTGGCAGTGAATTAAGAAAAAGGTCATGAACACACATAAGTGGGAGTGTACTCGAGTTCATCAAAGGATATTCCCCAGTCGGAACTCTTGTTGAGAATAGCGTTGTACCACAAAACCTGACCTTCAGGCCACAACAACTTCCTCCAAAAGAAAGAGTCAATAGCCACCGTCAGAGCTGAAAAAAATTGAATTGTAATGTTAGTTTTGACCTCTAGCGATTGCATTTGTAAATCATTTGAAAATCATGCAAGAAGTTTTATTTCATGGAGATTATTTTGCTGAACAATATGTGTAAATATTATACATTTTTGTTTGCCACAGAGCTTATTTTCTGCAATAATCAAAAATCCAATATAAAAATCTTTTAGTTTTCCCTACAAAGATATGTCCTCCCTGCAGCGGTCTCTGCTGTTCTCACCCAGTGACAGGACCCCAGCAGGAACAGCGTAGTACAGCAGCTGCAGCAGACCCAGCTTCCTGCTCAACAGTGATATCAGTAACATGAGACCCAGGAAGATGCAGAGCTCTGACCGGAACACGATGATGACCAAAGCTGAGAGGCTGATGAACCGGCTGTATTTCTGAGCCATCCAAGATGTGAACGCTACCAGAACTGAGGACAGAAGAAATGCACTGTCATCATGTCGATTCACTCACTTATTTAGGGAAATCAATCCAAAAAAACGTATGATTATGAAGATGTATACCCATGCATCTTACCTATTGGCAGTGCAAATACATTAGGCAGAGTCCTGGTGCTGTAGAACATTAGGTGAAACTGAGAAGCACACGTCAGACAGAAGAGCCCCGCAACTGTGGAGCCAAACTGCCTCCTCACCTCCCTCTGCATGTTCCACAGAGCACCGACCACACACACTCCCAGGGAAGCTCGGACTGCACAGAACATAAAGAGAGAATGCATTTGTTTAAAATCAAATAAGTGGATGGGAAGGAACCAATCAGGGAATAATTAAGGGTTTACCCATCAGCTGTGTGTAGAATTTGGGTGCATCCAGCAGAGAGGAGAGGAACACAGCAGGGGAACAGAGCACGGAGAGAAACAGGGGGCCAAGGAATGTCCGAGGAACCACGCCGGGAAACTCAAGATGGTCATACTGAAACACAGCACAGGCTCTGCTCTCAACAATACTTATACAGTCAGAACTTTAACAAAAAATCTCACATAGATTTTCTATCTATTTTTTAGCTACTCCAGATGTTAAAATGTCTTTTTTTTGGTAACACAATTTTATCTTCTGATTAAGAGCATCATGATTGAAAGCTCAACAACAGCTAATACATTTATCTTAAGTAGATAATTATGATAAATACCTTTTTTTTAAGAGAACAATTATGCTATTTGTATCAACACACATGTTTGTTTGCAATATGAAATGGAGCTTATTTTTTTGTTTATATTGGCATGGCTATTTTAAAGTAGTACAATGCCATTTTAGTTGTATTAGTAATAGTTATTTATATCATGGCTTTGTATTGCATTAAATGTGAATTTATCAAAAATCTATTAATTGTATACTTTTGGGGGTATTTTATGGAATGTATCTAACATTCATACTTTATGTAAAAATGTGAACCTCTAAAACACATACTAAACTGTTTTGTCGGTGTGTTTTGTGTTACGTATTCACAACGTTTGACACTATAATAACAATGATTTCATTCGATGCTTTGCAGGGTTAGCTTGTTAGCACACCTAATACCAGCATTTATAACAGCTGCTTACCTTCTCAAAGTTAAGTCTGTGATACAGAATGTCGTGCGCCGCTTGTAAATTAAAGCTCTCCTCAACTTTAGTGAACGGACAAAGGAATAAATGCAAAAGAGTGACAGTTATTAATAAAAACAGCAGAGGTAGCCCTAAAACATTCCTTTTTTCAGCCATGACAGCTGAACAGCTTTTCATCACTTCCGGTCAACACAGGAAGCAAACTACACAATATCGCAAAACAATTTAAACATTTTTTTATAGTATTTGTACAATATTTTTGTTTAGAAAATGTATCTTAAAAGACAACCAATAAAGAAAAGCTAATAATCTTAAAGGATACTACAAATGTTCCCGAATTTTACACGTGGGGAGCTTTA